TTTTAATTCTTTGATAATCTCATTTTTCCCATTTTAGGAAAGAATTTGAAAAATTAATAATAAATCATACAAGAGTTCAAGTTCAGCAGCGCCAATTTTCTTAGACTCTAGACAATAGGTGCTTTTTATTTTAATTAGTTAGGCTGTAATTTTCTATTTTTCCATAATTTTTGTGTAATTTTTAATTTTTTGATAATCCATTTTTTTCATTGTAGATAAGAATTCAAAAAATTAATAATAAATCATATGAGGGTTTGCATTCAGTGCCTCCAATTTTTTTAGACTCGAGACAATGCGTTCTTTTTATTTTAATCAGTTAGATTGCAATTTTCTAATTTTTAATAATTTTTGTGCAAATTTTAATTCTTTGATAATTCCATTTTTTTCTATTTTATAAAAAATTTTAAAAAATTAATAATAAATCATAAAAGAGTCCAAATTCAGAGCTGCTAATTTTTTTTAGACTTTAGAAAATATGTACTTTTTATTCTAATTAGTTAGATTGTAATTTTTTTAATTTTTAATAATTTTTGTGTAATTTTTAATTCTTTGATAATCTCTTTTTTTCATTTTAGAAAAAATTTAAAAATTAATAATAAATTATAGGATAGTCCAAATTCAACGCCGCCAATTTTTTTAGGCTTTAGATAATAGTTAATTTTTATTTTAATTAGTTACATTGCAATTTTCTAATTTTTAATAATTTTCTGCAATCTTTAATTCTTTGATATTTATATTTTATGAAAAATTTAAAAAAATTAATACTAAATCATATGAGAATCCAAATTCAGGGCAACCAATTTTTTTTTAGAATTCAGACAATGTATACTTTTTATTTTAATCAATTAGATTGCAATTTTCGAATTTTTAATAATTTTGTACAATTTGTAATTCTTTGATAATCTCATTTTTTCATTTTAGGAAAAATTTAAAAAATTAATAATAAAACATAGGAGTGTCCGTATTTAGCACCGCCAATTGTTTTAGACTTTAAACAATACGTATTATTTATTTTAATTAGTTAGATTGCAATTTATATTTTTTAATAATTCTTGTGCAATTATTAATTTTTTGATAATCCTATTTTTTCTATTTTAGAAAGAATTTGAAAAATTAATAATAAATCATAAGAAAGTCCAAATTTAGCACCGTCAATTTTTTTTTGTCTCGAAACAATACATACTTTTTATTTTAATCAGTTAGATTGTAAATTTCTATTTTTCAATATTTTTTGTGTAATTTTTAATTTTTTTATAATTTTTGATTAATTGAGAATGATATAGAATAGGGGGCTGAAGTGGCCCGAACTCAGAATGGATTGAGACCAATGCAATTTGGTTCGGATCGGGTCAACGATCAAGACTCATCACTATACCATGATTTATGTCAGATTTGAGTTGAATTCCATTGTTTAGCCTCTCAAATTTTATTTTTTTTTATTTTTGAAAGGAATTTGAAAAATTAATAATAAATTATAGAAGAGTCCGAATTCAGCGCTGTCAATTTATTTAGACTACAGACAATATGTACTTTTATTTTAATTATTTAGATTTCATTTTTTATTTTTTAATAATTTTGTGCAATTTTTAATATGTGGATAATTTTTGAATAATTGACGATGATGTAGAATAGGTGATGAAAATGACCCTGATTCAAATGAATTGAGACCTGTGGAATTTGATTCAGATGGGGCCAACGATCAAGACACATTGTTATGCCACGAGCTCTGTCAATTTTGCACCAAATTCTATCATTTAGGCCTTAAAAAAAATCTTTTTTTTTTAATTTCAGGAAAGAATTTAATTATAAATAATATGAGAGTTTGAATTCTGCAGGGCCAATATTTTAGACTCCAGACAATATGTATTTTTATTTCAATTATTTAGATTGTAATTTTATATTTCTTAATAATTTTCATGTAATTTTTAATTTTTTGATCATTTTTGATTAATTGAGGATAATGTAAAATATGTGGCTGAAGTAGCTCAAACTCAGAATGAATTGAGAGTAGTGAAATTTGATCCGTATTTGGCCAACGATTAAGACTCTTCGTTATGCCATGAGGCCTATTAGTTTTGAGCCGAATTCTGTTGTTTAGGCCCTAAAAATTCTATTTTTTTTTAATTTAGGAAAGAATTCGAAAAATTAATAATAAATCATAGAAGAGTTCAAATTCAACGCCGCCAATTTTTTTAGACTCCAGACAATACGTACATTTATTTTAATCATTTAGATTGTAATTTTTTATTTTTAATAATTTTTTGTAATTTTTAATTTTATGATAATTTTTAAATATTTGATGATGATGTAGAATAAGTGCCTGAAATGACTCAAACTCAGAATGGATTGAGACCAGTGAAACTTGATCTCAATCGGGCCAACGATTATGACTCATTGTAGCTCTATCAGTTTTGCGCCGAATTTTATCGTTCAGACCCTCAAAAATCTAATTTTTTTCATTTTAGGAAAAAATTCAAAAAATTAATAATAAATCAAAAGACGGTCCAAATTCAGTGCTGCCAATTTTTTTAGCTTCCAGACAAAACATACATTTATTTTTATTAGTTAGATTACAATTTTCTATTTTTTATAATTTTTGAGTAATTTTTTATTTTTTGATAATTTTTAAATAATTGAGGATGATGTAAACTAAGTGGCTGAAATGGTATGAACTCAGAAAGGATTGAGACCATTGAAATTTGATACAGATCGGACCAACGATTAAGACTCATTGCTATGCTATGAGCTCTGTCAGTTTTACGTCAAATTCCATCGTCGGAGATGGGAATTATGTTGGTAATACAACTAGGTTCATTGCAAGATTTTCCCTTTTTTTATTTTAAAAAAGAATTCAAAAAATTAATAATAAATCATAGGAGAGTCCGAATTCAGCGCCGCCATTTTTTTTAGACTTTAGACAATATGTACTTTTATTTTAATTATTTAGATTGTAATTTTTTTGATAATTTTTGAATAATTGTGGATGATGTACAATAGATGGCTCAGACTTAGAATGGATTGAGACCTGATGAATTTGATTTGGATGGGGCCAACGATCAAGACACATTGCTATGTCATGAGTTCTATCAGTTTTGCACCGAATTCTATCGTTTAGGCCCTCAAAATTTTATTTTATTTTTTTATTTTTGGAAAAAATTCAAAAAATTAATAATAAATTATAGGAGAGTCCGAACTAATCGCCGCCTATGTTTTTAGACTCCAGACAATACGTACTTTTATTTTAATTTGTTAAATTGCAATTTCTATTTTTTAATAATTTTTTTGCAATTTTTAATTTTTTAATAATTGATGATAATGTAGAATAGGTGGCTAAAATGGCTCGAACTCAGAATGGATTGAAATCAATGGAATTTGATCCAAGTCAGACTAACGAACAAGACTCATCGCAATGCAATGAGCTCTATCAGTTTTGCGCCAAATTTTATCATTTAGACCCTCAAAATTCTCTTTTTTTCATTAGAACTCGTCCCTTTTATCACTTCCGTCAATCAAACAATAATTGGTCTCATTTTATTAAGATATTTTTTTTTCGTGGTTGTTAAGTTTCTACACATGTTAGAAATTCAAGTATTTTATTGTGCCTGCTGCAACTCCCATGAACTTGATTAAAACTCACAATATATGATGTTATGCATTTCAATGTATATTCCATTGGCCCAACAAAAACTTTGAAGCATTGATGTTAAACCCCAATTATTCTTGTGAACGGTGCATAGAGTACAAGTAACTTGATGAGAATTATTTCTTCAAAAATGGTTGTAATAGTCACTCACTTCTGTATTTCTCAGATGCAACATCACAAGTTATAGGCCAAATGGTCCTAAAACCTATTAAGCCTAAGCATACCTTTGTGTGTTCTTTTCCTTTCTAAAGTTCTTATTCAAGTTCTTGAATTATTTGAGTCATGGGGTAACACAACTTTTGGAATCACCTAGTTGGATATATTTCATGGAAAACTTATAAGACAATATAGTATATATGACATGTTTTCGTTTGTCAAAGCAGGAAGATTTTGTTCACACACAACATTGACGAACTGCAGTACTTAGTTCTAAGATGCTCTCCCTCATAAGATTGTAATCAACCTAGTTTCGGGAGGGCATGCTCTCATGTCTCATCTTTTCTGGAAGTATTAAGTACACAAATGAATTAAATATGACAACTTTTTCATAAAATTTATCAGAAAAGCCACAAGACTACAAAGCAAAGTACTCCAAATAGACTTGTCACAAAGGAATCAGGCATTACATGACTCATTGGGAACACATCTTTTTTTATTCCATCCTAGAAACTTGTCTCATCTAAAGAATATTCATATTCAATTCCAGAGACTAGAAAGTGAAGATTCCCCTCCAGTAGAAGATAAACAAGCAATGTAGTGCTTCTCACCTTACCTTTAATTCCCCCATTAGTAAGGGTTGTTAATTTGCCAATACCATCATCGATCAACACAAATAATAGTTTTGTGCGCATCTGTCTGCATTTGACAATAAAGCAACGCATAAAGGCAGTATAGTTAACCATCAAACGACAATGTTAAGATGTTTTGAGAGTCTTATTAAGTTTGATCTCTCTGTTGAGAGTCAGAAAAACTAACTGAGGGACATACAACATGAGTTGAATCAGAATTCGACTTTCTCCCCGTGATCAGAAACCGCAGCAACCCGGCCAAAGTCAATGGTAACGTCCAGAAAAAAGAACATGAAACCCATAACAATGCAGCACAAAAACATAGGAACGGGTCCGAATATCCAAAAAAATAGAGGGAAAGAAAAGTAAAATGCACGCAGGCCTAAAGACCAAAAATAACTCCCCCTATTCACTATATTTCCTACATATTCAGCTGATATACAATAATTGTGATGATGGTGATTACAATTTGATAATATCTTTTTGTAGGGTACGTTGATAAGTATGCTAGAATGGCTGAAGTATCTGATAGACTGCACATTCATGAAGAACGCCAGCAAGAGGCACACCAGGATAGAGAAGAGTTTTATGGAGAATCCAAGCTCAGTGCTGCGGACTGCATAGATGAGGCCAGTTGAGCGACTGCCACCAGCACTTCCCATCAGTAAGGCTATGACAGAGCAGAGTGTGATGGCCATGGATGCCAAAACGGTTGATGCCATTATGTTGTTTCTCAGTGTCTGCACCGCTAAAACCCCATTCTTGGACACGTCCTGCCATATTCATACCCTATGAGTTTTAGTATACAATCTAAGGATGACAATTTTATATTGAAACGGTCGAAACAACCAAAATGTTTTTTATTTTTAAGGAGACTGAAACGAATTAGTAATTGAATCACCCATAATACTTCAAGTGTTTCGTAATGTTTTGAGATATTTCGGCGGATTTCTCTGAATGTTTCCGAATATATTTTAAAATGATTCGGCATATTTTCACTAATGTTTCAGAATATTTTGAAAATAAACTTTTAAATTTGGTCTCTATTTTTCATTATATTTTCAAAACGTTTCTGTTTATTGGGTTATCGAAACAATGCACAAAATAAAATTTTGATCTTTCATACAATCAATAAAGACTCATGGAACATAATTCATGAAATTTTCTAATTAACAAAGCTGCAGATGAATGGAAAATCTGCACGGAATGGTAGAGCTATAAATAGCATAATTCCTTAGCTACATCAGTTTACTATATCAGGTATGAAAGAAATGCAAGAAGATTCCTCAGCTGTTTTAAAAATCGTGACACTACATATATAGATTCAGTGTTACGATGAAGCCAAGCCGATATCATCATACAGGAGAAAATATTGAAAGAAAAAATGGATGAATGAATATATAAATCATGTATGCATGCAAGCGAACCTCCATCATAGCACAGACCCAGAAGCGGCGGTTGATGGCGTTGATGCCTATGAAGGTCTTAGAGTGGGCTGCTTCACGATCTGATAGAGTAGCCAAAGGTGATAAGCCAGCATTAATATGAGGCCCATTGGCACTAACACCCAATCAACAACTACTTGTTCCTCGTCCATTTGGGATTTGGGAGTGAGTGCTTCACCAACAAGAACGAAATACATATATATCAGAGGATGATGATCTAAAAATATATCTCACTATTGTCTCTCTTGCCCCGATAGACCCGTTGGATATCCTTTAATGGGTATATATATTCTAGAAGCTTTTTCGACTTGTTTGAAGTAGTCGCGTTTTTTGGTTAGTTGATTTTGATGACAAAAGGAATGACATGCAAACCGGTCTGCTGCTTCATATGCTGCCCCTGTTCTCTACGGTTTGGATGCTTTGCGAACACTAACACCACAAGTAGTGGGCGGGGAGAAAAAGTAAACCAAGAGAAAGTAAAATTGTTAGGCAAGTTCCCCTTTCCTCTTGTCAAAATACTCTGCTCTAACTCCAAAAATAATTCAAGTGATAATAATGATAAATTGTCAATTCAGACATTCAAATCTTTGGGACAACTTATAAGAGATTCAACTCTTATGAATATCTTAATTTCAGTGTGGATAATTTACCTTTAACAAAATTATAGAGGAAAATAATCAAAATGCACGTAAACTAACTTGTGACTATTGCACTAAAAAAACCAAAAAAAAACCTACTATACGTAGCCCCTTTCCACTTGAGGGTCATCCACAACATAGTCAATTGACATTTTTTTTTTATCGATGTATAAGCCTTAGTAGAATATTGTTGGTTAGAGTGCTGTAGTTCTAACTATTTTATTTTCTTAGCTGCCGTTGGTTAAATGAATTACTTGAACAAAAAAAAAAAGAAGCAACTCCTTCATACAAAGTAAAAGCATATTTCATTACTACATAGCAAAATCAATCTGTTGTTTGAAGCTTAATATATCAATAATAACACTTAAGTGTATACTACTATTCATACCCCAAACCAATCTGTTCATCAGTAACCCGATCTTTTACACAATTTTGGGCAAGAGGAGATGGCAATTGGTAAAAATCTAATACTTTTTTGTACTTTGGTAAAATTCCAATTCCGACATGTGTATATGCCCATCACAAAGCTACAGGCCGTTAGAGATAACTCGGCCCGTATATCGAGACAACAACCCTGGGCTAGCCCCTCTAGACTACTGTAAACGTTAGGTTTGCAAGCCCAATATGGTTCACATAAAAACTGGAATAGGAACGGCCCAATATACCCATACATACCTGGGCTAAGCCCATAATTTGGCCAATTCGAAAACGTGACGGTCCAAATATACACATACTCACCGTCATGCATCCTCTTTCTCCTCATTCGAACCACCTTCTCAGTCCTTTCTGCTCATCACCGTCGCCTCCTTTGCCGGCACTTCCTTGGGCCAAAGAAGCCACTGAGAAGCAGCTATGGTTTTACAAGTCCTACAAACAACAGAGTATTTGATTCTTGGAGGAAACCAATGCGACTGTGGAGATCCACAAGTGCAGTGCAATCATGGAGTTTTGTAGTGATTGATGTCGCACTCGTAAGTTCACTGCAATTTATTTTTCATGTTGTTTGATGTTCAGATAAATTGTGTTTAGGGTCTTTAGACCTGAAAGTTTGTTATTTACCAAACAAGTGATGGAATTAGCAAATAAACAGATAGAAATTAATGCTGGAATTCGTTTATAGGAAATATCTGGTGAAAACAAGCAATTGCAATTATTCAACTAAATGACAAATGAAATCAACATTATTATTATTTGACCTAATTAAGGTATATGTTTTTTGGGGCTGCTCTGTCATTCAGGCAATTCGTGATCTTATTTTGTTTAGAAATTTTTTCATGGCTGTAAGGTGTCTGCATTTGTCAGTAAGTTAGTTCATATACTTACTGACGCGACTGGAGTATGTTGTTGGGTAAAGTATGTTCAAAGTATGCATGTATCCCTTCTCTTCTGTGTGTTCATCAAAATATACTATCTTGCTCTTGCTGCTGCTGGCTGTTATATCCTTTCTATTTTACTGGCTCAACCATCTTTGAAACATTGATTTGGAACCCCTATTATAAGTGTGGTTGCTGCATAGAGTATAAGTTACTTACTGACAAGAATTTTGTCTTCAAAGTGGTTCTTCTTATTGACTTATAGTCACTCCTTTTTATTTCTGAGATGCAATTTCACAAGTTATAGGCCAATTGGCCGTAAAACAAATTCTGCCTTAGCATAACCCTTTTCCACATTCATTTTTTTTTCAAAGCTCTTGTTTGAGTTCTTGAATTATTTATGCGCCCATGGAATAATTAAAAAAATTTTGGAATCACTTTGTTGGTTATGTTTCCTGGAAAAACTTGTAAGACAATATAGTTGGACACGTTTTCGCTAGGCAGTGGTTGAAAATTTTGTGCATAACTAACTTAGACATGGATGGAACTAAGTTGTGGCCCAACCGCCCATGGGGTCATGGCCCCTGGGATTTTTTTAACACTCCAGTGTTCTGTCATTATTTAGAGAGTAACTTCTCCCTCCCTCAGTGCAGTAGTTCCCATGAATGTTTGACACTAGTACTTGACAGAACTGTGCAGAGACTCAAAAGAGAACTCACAAGAAGAAATGAAAAACAGAAGAATCAAAAAAATGATTTTTTGGAATTCATTTCTCAATAAGATTTGTACAGATTACAGGTGTATTTATAGAACGATTAGACCTCATCATACACCTGTGTAGCCTAGTATTAGCTCAACATTTCTTACCTATAACTAATTGAACTTAACTAATTGCCTAACAAACTATTTCACTGCTCATTTAACTAGTAAAACTACTACATGTGTTATGAGCCTCCCTCAAACTAATGAGGAAGTATGAATCATTAGTTTGTCTCGAAACTTAATGAAATTGGCAGTAGTTAAGCCTTTGGTGAAGACATCAGTTACTTGATCTTGTGTTGAAACATAATGGACTGATAAATCTTTATGAACCACCTTTTCTCGAATGTAATGAAAATCAATAGCAATATGCTTTGAGCGAGCATGAAACACAGGATTTGAAGCCAAGGCCATTGCTGAGACATTGTCACACCAGAGCTTTGGCGCTGTGGGAAGAAAAATATGTAGATCACTGAGTAAAATTCGTAGCCGGGATAACTCAGCAGCAGTGGCAGCCAAGGACCTGTACTCTGCTTCAGTAAAGGACCTAGATACTGTGGATTGCTTCTTTGTGCCCCAATGAACAGGATTGTTTCCCAAATAAACGACAAATCCAGTTGTGGACCTCCTATTCTCTGGATCTCCAGCCCTGTCAGCATCTGCAAAGGCTGTAAGTGATAGAGAACTCCTTTGATAAGTAAGGCCATAGGACAAAGTGCCTTGAAGATATCTAAGGATTCTTTTGACTGCTGCCAAGGAACGAAATCTCGTGTCGAAACATCCGAAACGTCCGAAACGTTTCGGAATTTCAACACACCGACACGAAACAGGGGATGAATACTAAAAATCCAATGTTTAGTTCGAATCGACAGTGTATCGGACCGTTTCGGTCGAATCGGTACCGTTTCGGTCGAAACGGTACCGTTTCCATCGACACAGTACAGATTGGATGTGGTTCAGTCCAGGTAACAAAAAACAAAAAAACAGAGATGCCTTTCACATGTCGGTCAGAATTTTACAGAGAAAAAATCGGGAGTCACATGAGGCACAGAAATCACATGAGGCACAGAAAGCACAAGAATTTAACAGAAATCACATGAGACACAGAAAGCCGAATCCTTGCAGAAGTCAGTCCAATTTAACAGAGAAAAAATCGGGAGTCCAGATTGAAGGAGATTCGGGAGCTCGAAGAGACAGAAAGCATTTTGGATCAAAATCGGGAGCTCGAAGAGACAGAGAAATTGAAGGAGAAGAGTAGAGGAACTAACCTTGAGTCCAGATTTCAGGAGATTCAGCCATTTTCGGGTTTTCCACGCAGATTTAGGGCTCGAATTTTGCACGCAGAGCCTTCGCCATCGCCATCGCCGAGGTATCTGCTTCTTCTTCTTCTTCTTCTTCCTCTCTCTCTCTCTCTCTCTCTCTCTCTCCCATCGTTGCGACCATCGCTGCGACTGCGACCATCGCTGCGAGCAAAACACTCGGCTGTGGTCTGAGTGTTGTCTGAGTCGTTTATGCAGTCTGCCTTATATATATATATATATAAATTTTTTTTTTTTTTGGTTACATGTATGAATAATTATATTTAATACCCCTTATAATTATATTTAAAACATACGGTAATTACATTCAATACCCAACAGTAATTACATATAATAGTTAATACCCACTGTAATTATATTTACCACCCACTATAATTACATTTAATAATTAATACCATTGTAATTACAATTGATATCCACTGTAATTACACTTGATATCCACTGTAATTATACTTGATACCCACTACAATTACATTTAATAGTTAATACCCACTGTAATTACATTTAATTTTAATTTGTAAAATTAATTTAATATATTTAATAACGTAATGATATTTATTGTAGATATGACATCAAAAGGAAAGAATATAGCTACTGAATCATCGCAGAAAAAAAAAAAAGAACGTGATATTGGATGGAATTACGGCGAACGAATTGGGGATAATCGACAACATGTAATGTGTAATTTTTGCCATAAAAAAATGATGGGTGGCGGTGTGTCACGGTTAAAGCAACACTTGGCAGGCGGTTATAATAATGTGGAACAATGTGATAAGTGTCCTATTGAAATTGCGAAAGCTATGAGGGATTACTTGAATCGCAACAAGACTGAAAATGCAGAAGTGACTGGTGAACGGAGAAAAATGAGACAAAATTTAATTGGTGGATCGAGGCGGAGGAGTGGTATCGAAATTTATTCTTCCGATGAGAATTCAGATGATGATATGGATATAGAATATAGAGATGATATTGAGTATGCAAAACAACAATCTATTCGTGATATACATATGGCCGAGCAAGGCTTTAGAGGAGGAAGTTCTAGACCATCTATCCAAAAAAGTGGTATATCTAAGGGTTTAATGCGCTCACATAGTGTGAAGAAATCTTGGGATAAATTCTCAAGAAAATCACAAAAGTGGATGGGCAGAGAAAAGGATCTCACGATAGAAGAGATGGATCCTTCGATGTATCGGAATAGGGAAGTAAAACAAGCCAAGCTAACTCATATGTGGAATCCGAAAAAGTGGGCAAAGTCGGCAAAACATGCTATTGCAAAGTATTTCATTTATGAGAATATTCCACCAAGCAAAGCTCAAGGTCATTTTTACCAATTGATGATTGATGAAATTGCTTTAGCTGGAGTGGGTGTGAAAGGCCCAACCCCATATGAGATTGGCGGACCATTGCTAGATAATGAGATAGATGAGCTGAAAGAGTACATTGACCAGTTCAAAAAGAAGTGGGAGATTTATGGAGTGACAATCATGTGTGATGGATGGACATCCACCACAAGATTATCTATCATTAACTTCTTGATATATTGTGATGGAAAAATTGTTTTCCACAAGTCAATTGATAGTTCTGGTCATGACAAGGATGCTAATTATATTTTGGGTTTGATGGATGCTGTTGTTGAAGAGATTGGAGAGAAATATGTGGTTCAGATTATTACAGACAATGGCAGTGCATACAAAAAAGCTGGTGAAATATTGATGGAAAGAAGACCACACCTATATTGGACTCCTTGTGCTGCCCACTCTCTAGATTTGATTTTGCATGATTTTTCCAAGATTGAAACGGTTCAAAATGTACTAGAGCAAGCTAAAAGAGTGACAAATTTTATTTATAATCATAATAGAGTCTTGGATATAATGCGAACATTTTGTTCGGGGGAATTGATTCGGCCAGGGCAAACAAGATTTGCCACTAATTATATTGCCTTACAAAGTATGTTGGAGCAGAGAAATGGTTTGCAAAGGATGTTTACTTCAGAAGATTGGTCTAGGAATGCGGCAGCAAAGGATCCAGTTGGAAAGCGAGTTCAAGGGACAATTCTAAATCCTAAATTTTGGGAGACCGCCAAAAATGTGTTGAATATGCATACACCTATTGCAAAAGTTCTAAGAATGGTGGATGAGGAAAGAAAAGCAACAATTCCATATGTATATGAAGCAATGAAACGAGCAAGACAAGCTGTCAAAGATGCGGCTCCTAAATCGTGCAAAAAATATCTTGACATCATTGATACTCGATGGAAAAAACAAATCATTCAACATATTCATATGGCAGGTAAACTTATTGTTTATCAATTTATATTTTTATTATTGATAAGTGTCATAATTTTGAATGTTATCATTTATAAGTGTTATCAT